AAATCGTTGGTTGACTGTGAGAAGCACAGCAGACCAAACAAACATCGATGGGGACACAGGAAAACCTTAACTGAAAACCTTGGCATGAGAAAGGTGTGTGCAAAAACGGTCCCAAAGGAGTTCTTGCATCATGCAATGTACTAGCTCACACAGCACTGTCTGTGAGGTAGTTTTTAGCCAGTAAACAAATAATTGCATTGGAGCACCCTCCCTACTCACCTGATCTGGTCCCCAATGACTTTTTTCTTTAGCTGAAGATAAAGGAAATATTGAAAGGAAGACATTTTGATGGCATTGAGGACATCAAGGATCATACGACAACAACTCTGATGGACATTCCAGAAAAAGAGTTCAAATTGTTTTGATGGGTGGTCTAGGCACTGGTATTGGTGCATAGCTTCCCAAAGGAAGTACTTCAAAGTACTCTGTACACTGTAGTGATATTTAGCAATGAAGTATATGACACTTTTTCTAGGATGAGTCCACGAACTTAATGTCAGACCTTGTCTATCAGTTTGTTGAACCATACAGAATATATTTTTGCTTGAGAACGATCCTTGAGTACAAAAAATAAGAGTAAGAAGATGTTATGCATGATTCACTGTCTCAGAGGCTATAGGCAATGCAACTATGCAGATTACTGAACTCATTATTGACACTGAAGAGGTCTTGATCTAAGTCTTTCATTTTTCATGATTATCTTTTCTTAGTTTTTTTTCTTTTTTCCCCCAGAGAACCCTTTGTAGGTCTTATTATTTAGTTAAGCTAATATCTACTCATACAAAATATATAATTTACATACATGGAAAAACAACTTTAGATATTTAAAATGACTATACAAAAAGTCTCTGTCTTTTTGTTAAGTTTGGCGGATGGAACATATATGTTTGCTTCTGCTTCCTTTGCAACCCCCAAGAAAATGACATGAAGGGTATTTAAAATGGCAAAATTCTATGAGCACAAAGAAAATGAAAAAGGTAAAGACAGCAGATGAAATGTCAGCAGCATCTGAAAAGGTGAAAAAAATGTAAAAATGATGAAAGGTTGAGAAGATCTGAGTCATGTGAAACCAAAGTTTGCAGAAGGGGAATCCAGGACGAAGCCTCACAATTTGTCCTGCACCATTTTAATACAGCCCAGGTACAGGCAGCAATAATTATTTTGCTTTTGAATACGGAGAGAAGATGGTGCCATGAAAGGGTATGGTTGGGACTAAAACTTCAGAATTGATTAAAAGACTTCATAAGAAGCAGTTAATCTCCCCACATCTTTCATCACCTTGAACAACAGCAACTCTCACTCACCCAATATGACAAGAGATTTATTCTCTGGAAACAGCCTATAGCTTGGCAGACACCAAATAATTCTGAGGACAGAGGTGAAGTGTCAGATTGAAAATAGGTAATTACATGAATTTATGTGTTTTGTATTGGGAGACCTCCAGCTCCTCTTACATTCAGCTTTTATTACTCAGCAAAGAGTTATTTGTGCCTACACTGTGCCAGTTTATATGAGGCAATATGCCAACAGACAATATTTACTGCCCTGAGGGAACTTACTTCTATGCCAGCTTGTGGAGGGCTTACTCCATGTTACCACTGTTTTGAGCCTTCAATGTGATTTGTATCATTTGATTCAAGAATTGTCATATAAGTATCACTATGTTCGTTGTGTATATGAGGACACTAAGGCACAAAGACATGTTCTTTGAAGACCTGCAGAGTCTTGGCTCTGCGTCTAAACTACCTGTTTAACTTTATAAAACAGGTTGAGCAGTAGTCATTTCTTTTCCATGTTTTGAAAGATAGCTGCTTGCAGTTTCTTCTTTACATGTTTGATAGAATTCACAATTGGGATAACTTGGTCCTGAAGTTTCCTTGCTGGGAAAATTTTGATAATGATTTCAATTTCTTTCATAAATATTGGGCTAGCCATATTTTCTGTGCTATCCTTTTTCACTTTTGGTAAATTGTATTTTTCAAGAAATTTTTACATTTTACCTAAAGTGATGAATTTGTTGGCATGTCAGTAGGATCTGCTGTGATGTCTTTCTCTTATTCCTGATGCTAGTAATTTATATTCTCTCTCTTTTTCTTGCATCAGTTAAACTAAACATATGTCGATTTTGTTAGCCTTTCCCAAGAACCAGCCTGGTCCTTTCTTAGTTTTCACTATTTTTTTTTTCCTGTTGATTTCTGCTTTTCCCCCAACCCCCAAAGCTGTCTTCTTTGATTGTCTGGGTTTACCTTGCTTTTCTTTTTCTGACTTCATATAGTAGAGCTTTAGGCCACTGATTTTAGTCTTTTCTTTCTCTCTAATATAAGCATTTAAAACGATAAGTTTTTATGTAGATACTGCTTAATTGCTTTTCACAGTTTTGTATGTTATATTTTCATTGTCAATCAGTCCAAAATATTTTCTAATTTTTAATGTGATTTTGTCTTTATTCATGAATTCTTTTTTTTCTTTTTAATGTAAAGATGTGGGGTACAATTCAGGGTTAGGTATACAAACATTGATCATGCAGGTACCCCTGTTAATGAGGTATGCTCCTCCCTGCCCTAGCAGTTTCCCTCAACTGCCAATCCCACCCCCTCCAACCCCCACCAACAGTTTCTCATTACTGCCAATCACTTTCTTATAGCATTATAATTGTTCAAGTTCCTCTTATGAGTGAGAACATATGGAATTCTGTTCTTTGTTTCTGTCATAAATCACCGAGTATGATAGATTCCAAATCCATCCAGGTTGCTGCAAAGTCCATATTATTTGTTGTTCTTTATGGCTGCATAATATTCCATAATATAAGTACCACGCTTTTTAAATCCAGTCCAACTTCGATGGGCAACATGGTTGGTTCCATGTTTTTGTTATTGTGAATAAAGTCGCAATAAACATTCGTGAGCAGGTATCTTCTTCGTAGAATAATTTGAGTTCCTCTGGGTATATTTCCAATAGGGGAATTACTGGGTCATATGGAAGGTCAATTTCTAGTTCTTTCATGTGATTTTGTCTTTATTCATGAATTCTTAAAATATCTTGTTTAACTTACAGATTCTTGGGATTTTATTAGATTTCTTCTTATTAACTCTTAAGTTAAAGAACCATTGTGGTCAAAAAACACATTATTTAGACTTATTATATGGCTTAGTACGTGGCCTTTCTTGATGAATGTATCATGCACACTTGAAAAAAAATGCTTATTTTGCAGTTGTTAGATACAGTTTTCTACAATTGTCAAATGGTTGATAGTGTTTAGATATAGTTGATTTATCAATTGCTGATTGCACAATTGTCTGTTTTCTTCTTTAGATATGTCGATTTTTGCTTCATGTATTGTGTGGCTTTATTATTGGGCACATGCACATTAAAAATTGCTATATATTCCCAATATAACATTCCACCAAAGGCTATATAGTTACAAAATTCAGCCTTACAAAATCTTTGTGAAAGACAATCTCTACGGGCAAGAACAAGTGAATGAAGAACTCAGGGACAGAACCGGGTTTTGAAATCAAAGAAAAGAATTATTATGACTATGTCAAAGGGTTCCATTGATCACAGAGAAAACAATGCATTTCTCCATTCTTATGTTTTCAGTTTTCTCACTTGGTGTGGTTGTATTTCCTTTAGCCCCAGAGGTTTCTGTAGTTGTATTTTCCTAACCCTAGGGGAAAAGCTTTCCCATTCATGCATCTTGTTATTAGTCACATAGAGGCACTACTCTCATTTTATGGATTTTTAGCCTCTACCATCCGGGGAAAATATCTCTACCATCATCCATCTACACCATGGTAACACTGAACCATCCAAAATTCAGCTTGAGGCAATTGATCCAATTCTAAAGAACTCTCATGGACTCACATTTAAATTCTGATATACTTGAAAAAAACTAGTTTCTCAGTGAAGTAACTTGTTATTCTATTTTTACATGATATCCCATTTCTTTTTTTTATTATAAAGATGTGGGGTACAATTCAGGGTTAGGTATACAAAAATTGATTATGCAGGTACCCTTGTTGATGAGATGTGCCCCTCCCTCCCCTAGCAGTTTCCCTCAACTGCCAATCCCACCCCTCTCCCCTGACAGTTTCCCATTACTGCCAGTCCTTTCTTATAGTATTGTAATTGTTCAAGACACGCTTATGAGTGAGAACATGTGGTACTCTCTTCTTTGTTCTGTGATAGATCTCTGAGTATGATCGACTCTAAATCCATTCAAGTTGCTGCAAAGTCCATATGTTTGTCCTTCTTTATGGCTGCATAATATTCCATTGTGCATATGTACCACATTTAAAAAAATCCCGTCCAACTTCGATGGGCAGCATGCTTGGTTCCATGTTTTTGCTATTGTGAATAGAGCTGCAACAAACATACGTGTGCAGGTATGATTTGTAGAATAATTTGAATTCCTCCGGGTATATGCTTAATAGGGGAATTGCTGGGTCATATGGAAGGCCAATTTCTAGTTCTTTCAGAAATCGCCACACTGTCTTCCAAAGAGGTTGCACTAGTTTGCATTCCCACCAGCAGCGTAGAAGTGTTCCTTTTTCTCCACATCCTCGCCAGCATCTGTTGTTGATATCCCATTTCTAATGGACTCTAGGACTAATACACTATCATAGATTTGAAAAGGGAGAAACATGTGGAAGTTTTGATACATCTCAGAAAATAGGACACGCTGAGTTGTGCTAAGCTTTTGTTCTGCACCTGGCCTCCAGAGGGCGATGCTGTATGAACTAGAGACCTTGCTTCTGTAGAAAATCATCATTAACTGCTCAGTTCCTCCTCCTTGCAGCTGGAGTTCTTTGCAGAGACAAGTGATAACAATTAGAAGTCAAAAAGCAACCAGGTTCATTAAGCAGCTTTGATAGTTTTATCTAAGCTAGGGACTAGTCCAGCCGAAGCTTCTCCTCACCTCCTCTTTCCATGGTCTTGGTGTTCCTAGTCACCTTCCTGTCTGTTCCTGAAAGATCTAGAAAAGAATATGCAGCGTTTCCACTGTTCAGCCATGTTCCTGATGTTCATCCCACTCCTGGGGATACATTTTTCCCTGAGTGAGTAAAAATATATTTTATGGCCTCTAGTTCCACAGATTCTGCCTAGAAATGCTTACTTTCCTAGTGAAGTCTGCTGTATTCTTTTCACCAACACAATATTGATTTTTTTTCTTTTTTAGGAGATGCCAGAGCCCAGTCTGTGATCCAGCCTGATGTCCATGTCACTGTCTCTGAAGGAGCATCTGTGGAGTTGAGATGCAACTATTCCTATGGTGCAACACCTTATCTCTTCTGGTATGTCCAGTACCCTGGCCAAGGCCTCCAGCTTCTCCTCAAGTCCTTTTCAGGGGACATCCATGTTCAAGGCATTAAAGGATTTGAAGCTGAATTTATGAAGAGCAAATCTTCCTTCAACCTGAGGAAACCCTCTGTGCTTTGGAGTGACACGGCTAAGTACTTCTGTGTTCTCAGTGCCACAGTGCCTGGGACTGCAGGGGGAGCTGAACACAAACCAACCATGATAGTGGAGTTTTCAAAGATGAAAGAACTCGCCTTGTGGTATTTTGAAAGTTATATGATGGCAGATGAGGAGAAGGGGACTGAGTTGATGCAAGTGCAGTCTTCATACCACATAACAACCAGGACCTCGAGGATTTGCCTTGAAGTTGACGGCATTAAGGGGCCCTTTATGTGAGTTGTGACGTGATCTTGAAGAAATGGGGTTTTTATATATTATTTTCTCTTTTAACCGACTCAGAAAACAAAAGATAATTCCCCTTGTTCTTTCCGTGCAAGTTTGTCTTCTTGTCAACTTGGCTCTTCATAGACCATTTTCTTGAGAGTTTTTTTCCTGGATCTAACTGTGCTAGTCACAATGCATCAGAATATTTTTTCTGAGTTTAAGTACTTTTATTTAGGAGAGATTCTGTAAAATTATCAGTCAACAGTGATTAGAATCGTGGAGGGCTGAGAAAACGGTCATGGTGATGTTAGTTCAGGCAAGTATTTAAGAATAGTGCAGAAAGAGAATGAAGATTGAGAATTCATCAGTGTCTCTCCAGAGACTTTTTCACAGTCATAAAAGTAGCTCCTATTCTATTTGGCATCATAAATTCTGCAAGCCTACATCAGCAATTTGTGGATATAATCCTTTTTACTTTTTTCTTATAGCTACTGACATTTTTATTTATCATTTTCACCATGTTCTTATATGATTTTACTGTTGAAATATTATAAATTGAGTCTCACAAGCTAACATTGTGATAATCGATCATGTGGTGAGTTTAGCAATGCTAAACTCTGCCAGAAATATTTTTAAAAATTGCAGTGGATACTAGCACACAGTATAAATTTATGACTTTCTTCTGCCTAGGATGGAAAGAGCTATATAGCAGGCATTGATATTCTTTCCATGCTTGAAGCCTTGGAGGCTAACAAGTACTCTGTAGCAAAAGGAAAAGGAGAAGGAGGAAGCTTTCTAGCTGCCATTTATCTCACTCAATAATATGCAAGAGTATAGATGCATAGGAACCCTCAAAATGTAGAGTGACTAAGTTGATTGTGATCTATGGTACACCTTACTAAATGGCAAACCAGGAGATAAAAAGTAGTTTTTAGGATATAACGATATGATTATACGTGAAAAGTGTGTTTTTTGTGTTTGCTGGGGGTGTATAGGAAGGTAAATGGGCGGTGGAGAAAAAATTATAAATAATAAATGCATGCTCCTTTAGTGTCCTGTGCTTCACTTTCTCCTTTTCTTCATATTGTTACACCACACTTTCTTTTACCTCCACTAAGATGACTGATTTCATGTGACTCAGCCACGTTGCCCAAAGAGACTGTAGTGGGCACTTTATGCAGATTGGTATGAGAAGGAGAATTGCTAGTTTCTTTTGATTCTGAACTCAGGCTGGGTATTAGAGAAAAATAACTTCTACACCAAGGACCCCAAGCAGCTAAGAGAACATCTCCCATCTTCCTCTACCTCACCTCTGCCTGAGAAATCAAAGTAATCTTTCTCCTTCTCTCCCTCCCTTCTTTCTTTTTATTAACAATTTGTTATTTAATTATGTGGTTATATAATTTTATGAGAAAACTCCTACAACAAAGAATTATATTAAAAATGTAGAAATCCCAAGTTTATCAATAAAATTAATAATTCTGAGTATTAAAAAAAATGCTGACTTTTCATTTAATTAATGGGTCTTACTACATATCCTACCACATAGAATCAACTGCCCTAACTGAAGGGTAGACTAGCTTACTAAAGACTCAGTTGAAGTGCCAGTTGGGAGACAACATACTGAAAGGGTAAGGTTGTGTCTTACAGGATTTACCATGTGCTTTGAATTAGAGACCATTATATGCTGCTGTTTCCCACATAACCTATTTAGCAAAGTTTTAGATATTGATCAAAACTAGCAATCAGGAGTGGTGGCTCACTGTTGTTCCCAGCACTTTGGGAGGTGGAAGCAAGAGGATTGTCTGAGCCCAGGGGTTTGAGACCAGTCTGGTCAACTTGGTGAGACCTCGTTTCTGTAATAAAAAAACAAAACAAAGACAACAACAAAAAAACACAAAAATTAGCTGGGCATGGTGGCGCACTCCTGTGGTTTCAGCTACTTGGAAGGCTGAGGCAGAAGGATTGCCTAAGCTCAGCAAGTTGAGACTGTGGTGGCTGTGAGTGTGTCATGTCACTTTGGCCTGGGAGACAGATTGTGACAACCCCATTACAAAGTGGGCAAACGATATGAACAGACACTTCTCAAAGGAAGATATCCAAGCGGCCAACAGACACATGAAGAAATGTTCAAACTCACTAATCATCAAGGAGATGCAAATTAAAACTACACCGAGATACCACCTAACTCCAGTCAGAATGGCAATTATCAATAACTCAAAAAATAACAGTTGCTGGAGAGAATGTGGTAAAAAGGGAACGCTTCTACACTGTTGGTTGGAGTGTAAACTAGTGCAACCTCTGTGGAAAGTAGTGTGGCGATTCCTAAAATCTCTAAATATCAACCTCCCATATGACCCTGCAATTCCCCTACTGGGAATATACCCTTAAGAACTCAAACCACTCTATCAAAAAGATACCTGCACAGGTATGTTTATTGCAGTATTGTTCACAACTGCAAGAACTTGGAACCAACCATGCTGTTCATCAAAAGAGGACCGGATTAAAAAAATGTGGTACATATACACGATGGAATTCTACACAGCCATAAAAAAGAACAAAGTCATGAATTTCGCAGCAACCTGGATGGAACTAGAGTCTATAATACTGAGTGATCTCTCACAGAAACAAAGATCTGAGTATCACATGTTCTCACTCATATAGTGGACCTTGAACATCTATCATAATACTATAAAAAAAGGATTGACAGTGGCGGGAAACTATGGAGGGGTAGGGAGGAGAAGTGAGTTGGGATTAACGGTAGTCAATATCTGTCTGCGGACGGGGAGACACCCCTTATCAACAAGTGTGCCTGAACAATGCATATTTGTATACCTAACTCTTAACTGTACCCCACAATTTTAAAATAAAAAATTTGATTAAAAAAAGTAGAGTGTTAAAATGTTGAAGATATTTTATATTTATTATTATGACTCCCGATTGATTTTTGTGATTTGTTTGATATAACAGGATATTAAAATTGGTAATTGTATTAGTTTATTAGGGCTTCTGTAATAAAATACCACAGCCTGGGTGATTTCAACAAAGGAAATTTATTTTCTCACTCTTTTGGAGGCTAGAAGTCCAAGAACAAGGTTTTGGCAGGGTTAATTTCAACTTTGAGATCTCTCTCCTTGGCTTGCAGATGGCATAGCAATGTCCTCACACTGCCTTTCCTTCGAGTGTGCCCCTGTCTGCTTCTAGTTTTCCTCCTCTTATAGGAACATAAGAGGAGAATTAGGGCCCATCTTAACCTAATTTTACCTTAATTTTGTCTTTAAAGGCCCTATGTCCGGTTGCAGTCATATTCTGAGGTACTGGGAGTTAGGAATTCCACATATAAATTTTGGAATTCCTAACATAATTCAGCCCATAATAACCCTCTAAGGAAACAAATGTGAAGTTCATAAACAAGACAATCGAAGCCTCCCTTGATCAACATTCTAATAATTTCTGGTATGCTGGATGATTATACATAATTTTAATAACAAGGATTTCCTGTCTTTTCTTACTTGTGCTTCTAAAGCAATTAGAAACACATATTTATAAATAGTTCATAATATAATCCAAATGTAAAAAAAAAAAAAAGAGGCAGAGGGACCAGTGATGCAAATGTAAAGGCTATTACTCAGACTAGGATTCTTTCTCTTCTGCTATATCAGGGTATGGAATTTCCTCTTTTTCAGTTTCATCTTTTTCTTCATCTAAATCTAAATTTCTTATTTCTGCCAGTTTTCCTTTCTTTCCCAATTCTCTCTCTTTAAAAAAAAAAAAACAAAGCTAAATATTGATTTTTTTTTTACCTCTGTCTTTTTTCTCCTTTTATCTCAGCTCTCACCTTTGCAAGAGATATTTTAGCTGCCTAACTCGTGACTCTCTTCTCGCACTCCTCCTTTATTGCTCCTTCAGCAGAACTGACGTTCTGGGACGTCGCCATGGGAAATGTGGTGTGCTCAGGATGAGGAAGGAAGCAGCAGTCCTGGCACACATGGCAGCAGAAGCATCCCATCCTACATGCTCAGCTTTCTTTGTTGTTTTCTTTTAGGTTTGTCTCTTAAATAGCATGCAGCAAGACCTTACATTTTTATTCAATCATATAATCTCTTAATATACGTTTTGATTACTGATGTATTTGGACTCACTTCTAATATTTTGGTATAGCTTGGCACACACTTGACTTTTTTTTGCTTTTTAGTCTGTCTTCTGTTGCATTGATAAAGTTTTTTTCCCCCCTCTCTCTATTGATTTAGAAAATATAAAGTGTATTTCTGGTCTTAATCCAAGTGCCCTTAAACCACCCGCCTATATATTTTTATATGCCCAAGCTATTCTGTAGCATTTTTTTCCCTTCTATATTCCTCTCCTTCTCCTTGGTTGTACTTTCCCTCTAGCTGACTTACTATATTTAAAATTACCTTAGTGACTGGTTGAAGAAACTACACATCAGCTATACATCAGGACAGAAATTCCAGAGAGGATTTATCCAATTAAACTGATAAACTACAGCTGCAACACACATTAAGAAAAATAATTACAAAGAAAACCATCCAACACAATAATTGGAACATGAATTCACTCTCTTCTTCCTAAGAGCCTTTGCTCCTGATCTTCCCTTTGCCTGGAGTGCTTTCCACTACACGTGGATCCCTTCTCTTGCTCTTACTCTCTGCATCAGGAGAAACATGGGTACATGGAAATGAAGCAGTATGCTCCAAAAAAGTTTGCTGCAGTGGTGTATTTCATAGTTTAAAAACCCAAGACCTTAAGTATTCATTGAAAGGGAAAGAGTAGTATATAAATGGTATGTCTATAACATGGAATACTATACAATGCAGCAGTAGGACCTACATGTGTTAAATAATAAGACCTACAAAATTTATTATTGAGTTTATAAAGCAAGTTACAGAGGAGTATGTACAAAATGTATCATATTGTATTAAATAAGAGATTGTAAGTGAAATGTTGTTTCATACTTGGCATGTGCATATAAATCTATAGTAAAATGTCTGGTA